CTTCCAATCGAGCCTTGAGGTAACCGCAGCCCTGACCAACACCCTGATTGCTGTCTTGTGGGAGACCCCAAGCTAGAAGACCAAGCTAAGCACACCCAGATTCCTAACACACAGAAACTATGAGATATTAAATATTTGTTGTTTTAACCTGCTGTGTTTGGGAGTAATCTGTTATACAGCTATAGATAACTAATACAATCCTCAGCCAACAAGGAAAATGGTCAAATAGACTCAATCACCAGCTCTACCACACAAGCCACCTCTACATGGGAGGGCCTAGCATACCCGACAGGACTTTAGCATGGCCCTCCTCTAACTCCTCTCATTCAATCTAGACATCTCTAACTTTCATAACACTTAGGGATAAAAATGTTCCCATTTTTTGAATGATCCAACACCCCAAACTAAAATGAAAAGAAGTCAATGGCAACCTGCAATTGGAAATTCCAAGTCCTCGATGTTATAAAGTCACAACTGGTAAAAGAGAGGCCAGAAAGGAAAGTATATGCTAAAAGCTGCCCTTTTGGGTCTTGCATTAGTAATTCTTGCAGCTGGAGTTTCACTACAACCACAGGATTGTGGCACCACGAAGGTGGCCATTTTCAAATCTGGCCTGACATCAGAATGTAATTCAACTAGATAAACCTGGGACTTGACCAAGATAAGTAACATTTAAATAATTGGAGCCAATGAATAGCATCACTTTTCTATGGAACCATATGACTATGATGTGAAGAAATAAAAGCCTTTGTTGTTTTAAAGGGCAGGGACAATTGGAAGTTTTGCAGCAGACGGTTACAAAATTTTCCACCCTTAGCTCTCCAAAGAAGATACCAGTTAATGGCTTTGGGAGTTGGGTGTGGAAGTTGTTACTTGGAAAAGACAATTAAATTGATTCTGAACAGATGTGAACCAATGTTACTACATTTATCATAGAGCCTAAAACAGACTATTTAGGCCCCTACACTGTGAGCTTACTTTTCTGAACTACTCCCTTTTATTACTTAGCTCCTTGAAATCAGCATTCTATATCAGGCAAGGCATAGAAAGCTACCACACCCCTCTCACAAACAGCAAATTCTTATTTTTCAGAATAATTTTGGAGTGGTTTTTTAAAAATCATCCTAAAAAACACTACACTCTCCACAAAATTGGCTTTGCTTCTCTGTTTTTTGCACTTGTCTGCCTGGGTCAGAGAAAGAGGACTCCCATCTGTGATACATTTCATCTAGATAAATAGGGCTGGGTTTTCTTCACTTTACATGTAGATTGTTTAAAAAATATATCATTTGTCCCTCGTATTTTTTTTAATAGATTTATTTTATTTATTTTTGGCTGAGTTGGGTCTTTGTTGCTGCGCGCGGGCTTTCTCTAGTTGCAGCGAGCGGGGGTTACTCTTCGTTGCTGAGCCAGAGCTTCTCATTGTGGTGGCTTCTCTTGCTGCGGAGCGTGGGCTCTAGGCTCGTGGGCTTCAGTAATTGTGTCTCACGGGCTGTAGAGCGCAGGCTCAGAAGTTGTGGCGCATGGGCTTAGTTGCTCCGCGGCATATGGGATCTTCCCGGACCAGGGCTCGAACCTGTGTCCCCTGCGTTGGCAGGCGGATTCTTTTTTTAAAAAAATAAATTTATATTTATTTATTTATTTTTGGCTGTGTTGGGTCTTCATTTCTGTGCGAGGGCTTTCTCTAGTTGCGGAGAGCAGGGCCCACTCCTCATCACGGTGCGCGGGGCTCTCACTGTCGCGGCCTCTCGTTGCGGAGCACAGGCTCCAGACGCGCAGGCTCAATAGTTGTGGCTCACGGGCCCAGTTGCCCCGCAGCATGTGGGATCTTCCCAGACCAGGGCTCGAACCCGTGTCCCCTGCATTGGCAGGCGGATTCTTAACCACTGCGCCACCAGGGAAGCCCCATCCCTCGAATTTTTTAAGCGCTCTCTTTTTTTTCCCTCTTTTTAAAAAATGATTCCTATTACCTCATCAGGGAGTTGTCTGGGGCTATAATATGAGAAGAAGCTCATAACTAAACTGGTTTTAGTGGTATTTAAGACAGTATTTTATCCTGTCAGTTTTCATTTTATTAGATGACAGTGCTTGTAATTTCTCCCTCAATAAGCAAAGATGACTTAGATCAGTGGCCTGATGAATAAGCACGAACATTTGATTTAGAGAAGGAGACCATCCTGGAGTTCACAGAGAGAAAAAAGGATTTCCAACCCCCCCACCACACACACTTTAAATGACAAAGCAAAGAAGCAGCACCGTCTTTAAACAACATCTTTCAAGGCAATCAATATCAAGGCTCCCCAGGGTCAGGTGATAAGAATAATAATTTAGAAAGAAAATGAGGAGCCCTTAAAAAATACAAGGAGGCAATGAAACATTTTTGAAGAAAATATTATGAATCCTTCCTATTACCTTGAGGCAGACACTCCAAAAGAAAGAAAGAAAGAGAAAAAAAAAGTCCTGGGTGTGAACGGAAAACTGATGCTTTGGAAGAAAAAGATGAGGACTCCTGTTGAGGGCCGGACGGAGAATGGGAGCAGTCTGACACCCTGCCTTGGCCTAAATGATTCAGCCCTCCAGACCCATTAACAAGAGTGGAGGACAAAGAACTGTGAAGTGGAAGAACAGATTCCCCGTAAACCAGTGATAGAAAAGAAAGAAAAGAAAAACAGAGGAAGCCAAAGTCTCCCATAGAAGGGAACCCAATTAATTGTCTTCGACTTCAGATCAGGATCAGTTTTTTCTTGCTGGAGAAGGGGCTCACCAGGGGCAGCAGAGGCAGCAACTTCTGCAAACATGCATCCTGATCAGAAATCCCTCAGGGCTCTAGCGCCTGGAACTGAGCTGGCAGGAGTGAGGGCTCAGCCAGGAGTTAACACTTTTTAAGGCATAGGATTGCTGTGCGTGTGCGCGTGTGTGTGACAGAGAAGCAGATTTTTCCTTTCTCAACATGTCACTTTCCTGCACAGGAATTCATGATATTCCTCGCAGTCCAGCCAGAGAGGAGAAACACCGCCCCCCCGCCCCCGCCCCCGTAACTTCTGATCTCGCCGGGAGTAACCAGAGAGAGCGCGCCCGCGCCCAGTGCCTTCAGCCGGGCGAAGATTTGACCGGGAACAAAAGGACGCTCGCCAATCAGAAGACGCTACCCGAGAACAGGATAACCACTCTTTGTGTTTTGAAAACTCTTTAATTAGCAAATGCCCTTGGTTTCTAATACGCATGAAAACTTTTCTACGGAAATTCTAAGGATCAAAATCATTGCTTCTGCGACGAAGGTGGGATCCCGAAGGGTCACGCGTCGCAGAACTAAGGAAAACAAGGCAATCAAATACTCGCTTTAAACCGTACAGTGTTCCTGGACACTCGGCCGCAGGTTTTTTTACAGTAATTTCCCCCAACACTGTCTTAGTTTTCTAATGACTTCACTAAAGCTATACCAGATCCCTAGACTCGGCCGTGCGCGCGGTCAAGGTGGGCTGGGGCCTGGGTCCCCCGCGCCCGCCGCCCCCCGGCTCTCTCCCCTCAGAGGGGTCTGCACTTACTCCTGCCTTAAGCCGGCCCCCTCCGCCCGACTCCGATTTCTCCCTGGACGCGGCCCCTCCTCCTTTTTACCGCGGGGAGAGGGGGTGAGAGGGGATTGTGGCCTCACGTGGTCTGAGTCCCGGGAGAGAAAAGCAATCCGCGAGGCGCACCCCTTTCTTGCCCCATACCGAACCCCACATTTAGGATCCCGCTACCTAAAAGCGCCCAGCCAAACCCAGCATTTTCAGCACGGGGAGAGCTAAAGTGACTCCGGATCACGTCTCTCTCCGCTGAGGCGCTACTCTATTCTCAGCTTCTCCTTGCAAAAGCCTTGGCCGGTGTGCGCCCTTCTGTTTAGGAATGTGTATTTTAGTGTATCCGGAAGAGGAACAAATCTTTCAAGCAAATTCCCTTTCTGGTGCGCTCCCCCCCTCCCCAGCCAAGCGAATTCAGGGTAAAAGTTTTTCTTAACTTTTCCCTCCCAGCCCCCTGCCCCTCCCCTCAGGAATCCGCCCAGAGCTCTGCGGACAGTGCCTCTCCGGTTCCCTAGCCCGCCCCTTCCGACTTCCACCCAATCCAAAGGCGGCCACACAGAAAACAAAGGCTGCCATTGGGCCGCCCTGGATGTCGAGGGCCCGCCCCCGGAGTGGTTTGTGAATGGGGGGAGGGGAGGGGGCGGGGCGGCCCGGAACCCTGCGAGCCCGACGCTTCTTCTTGCGAGTTGAGCGGCTCCGAGGCTTTACTCTGCGCTCCCTCCCGGCGGGCGGCGGCGGCTGCGGGCGCTGGGACTCAGCGGCCAGGGTTGGCGCGGGGCTGGAGAGGCCAGGCCCAGGCCAAGGGCACCGGGATCTCGCAGCTTTGGACGCAGTGTGACTGGATTTCTTGAAAGAACTCGCTGAGCTCTTGGCTCCAAGAAGCCGATCGGACTCAGCGAGAATCAGCCGTTTGGCTAAAACTTGGGGCCAAGCTTTTGGGGCTGAAGAAGGAGCGGGGAGTGGAGAAGGAGGCGAAGGAGGAGGAGGCGGCGGCGAGCGGAGCCTCGAGGCGAGGAGGCGGAGCAGCACCGTAGAGGCGGCGGCTTTGGCTAGCAAGCGGCGGCGCCCGGCTCTCGCCTGCTCGGGGGCCGGACTTGTGGGGGGCGCGCGCGTTACTGTGCGCTGTGAGTCGAGAGACTTGGGCAAACTTTGAAGGGTAACCGGAGACGCTTGTTGCTTCTCGCCGCAGAAAAAGCCTCACCGTTACGTCGCGGCGAGCGGAGAAGGCGGCCCTCGCCGGCGCCCCCGGCCCAGGCAGAGGAGTTTGGGCCCCCGGCTGCTGCGCGAGTGCCGGGCGGAGGTGGCGGCGGCGCCCCCGCGGCGCGAGCACCCCAGCTGCAGCGCCCTCGGCTGCGCACCGCCCACGGCCCAGCCCCGGCGCCGCGAGGACTCTCATGCGCCCGGCGCGGCGGCGCCTCCCCGGATCCCAGCCTTTCCCGGCTGCCTTGTCGCGATTCTCGGGCTGAGAACGCCGCTGCACCCGCGGCCTGCGATGCTGGGCCCCCGCGCGGCACCGTCGCGCTCGCCTCTGGGCCTGTGTACTCTGGTGATTGCGCTGCTGGGCGCACTGCCCGCGGGCGCCGGGGCGCAGCAGTATCACGGCGAGAAGGGCATCTCAGTGCCGGATCACGGCTTCTGCCAGCCCATCTCCATCCCGCTGTGCACGGACATCGCCTACAACCAGACCATCCTGCCCAACCTGCTGGGTCACACGAACCAAGAGGATGCGGGCCTCGAGGTGCACCAGTTCTACCCGCTGGTGAAGGTGCAGTGTTCTCCCGAGCTGCGCTTCTTCCTGTGCTCCATGTACGCACCCGTGTGTACCGTGCTCGATAAGGCCATCCCGCCGTGCCGCTCTCTGTGCGAGCGTGCCCGCCAGGGCTGTGAGGCGCTCATGAACAAGTTCGGCTTCCAATGGCCTGAGCGGCTGCGTTGCGAGAACTTCCCCGTGCACGGCGCCGGAGAGATCTGCGTGGGCCAGAACACTTCGGACGGCTCCGGCAGCGCGGGAGGCGGCCCCACCGCCTATCCCACCGCGCCCTACATGCCCGACCTGCCCTTCACCGCGCTGCCTCCGGGGGCCGCTGACGGCAGGGGCCGCTCAGCCTTCCCCTTCTCGTGCCCACGCCAGCTCAAGGTACCCCCCTACCTCGGCTACCGTTTCCTGGGCGAGCGCGACTGCGGCGCCCCTTGCGAGCCGGGCCGCGCCAACGGCCTCATGTACTTTAAGGAGGAGGAGAGGCGCTTCGCCCGCCTCTGGGTGGGCGTGTGGGCAGTGCTGTGCTGCGCCTCGCCGCTCTTCACCGTGCTTACCTACCTAGTGGACATGCGGCGCTTCAGCTACCCGGAGCGGCCTATCATCTTCCTATCGGGCTGCTATTTCATGGTGGCCGTGGCGCACGTGGCCGGCTTCCTGTTGGAGGACCGCGCGGTGTGCGTGGAGCGCTTCTCAGACGACGGCTACCGCACGGTGGCGCAGGGCACCAAGAAGGAAGGTTGCACCATCCTCTTCATGGTGCTCTACTTCTTCGGCATGGCCAGCTCCATCTGGTGGGTCATCCTGTCGCTCACCTGGTTCCTGGCGGCCGGCATGAAGTGGGGCCACGAGGCCATCGAGGCCAACTCGCAGTACTTCCACCTGGCCGCGTGGGCGGTGCCCGCTGTCAAGACTATCACCATCCTGGCCATGGGCCAGGTGGACGGGGACCTGCTCAGCGGGGTGTGCTACGTGGGCCTGTCCAGCGTGGACGCGCTGCGGGGCTTCGTGCTGGCGCCCCTGTTCGTCTACCTCTTCATCGGCACGTCCTTCCTGCTGGCCGGCTTCGTGTCGCTGTTCCGCATCCGCACCATCATGAAGCACGACGGCACCAAGACCGAGAAGCTGGAGAAGCTCATGGTGCGCATCGGCGTCTTCAGCGTGCTCTACACCGTGCCGGCCACCATCGTTCTGGCCTGCTACTTCTACGAGCAGGCCTTTCGCGAACACTGGGAGCGCACCTGGCTCCTGCAGACGTGCAAGAGCTACGCGGTGCCCTGCCCGCCCGGCCACTTCCCGCCCATGAGCCCCGACTTCACCGTCTTCATGATCAAGTACCTGATGACCATGATCGTAGGCATCACCACTGGCTTCTGGATCTGGTCCGGCAAGACGCTGCAGTCGTGGCGCCGCTTCTACCACAGACTCAGCCACAGCAGCAAGGGGGAGACTGCGGTATGAGCCCCAGCCCCTCCCCCAGCCTTCCTTCTCCCACCCCCAGCTGGGGGAAAGGCGCGGTAGGGGAAGAACTGCGGGGTAGGCGGGGGGGCTTGTTTCTGTCACCTCCTTACGCTCCAGTGAGAAGTGACCTGGAAGTGAGAAGATGCATGTAGAGATATACGTGGGTTTGGAAAAGAGGCCTGAGTGGAAAGACGGTTTGGATGAAAAGACTTCTGGCAAAGATTTGCAGGATGATGATGATGATGATCATGTTAATCCTGTACGGTACGGACCGACCTGGGCCAGTCGGAAAGACTGAGATCAGAAGGTTGCTGTGAGTTCTTCTCAGCTCTGGGGCCGAACTGGGACTGTGAGCGATTCCCCTGCTGCAAGACAAGTGGCCTGTCCTCACTCCTGTGAGGCCCGGGTGAAAGGCACAGCTCTGTCTGCGGCGGCTGCTTTGTTGGGAAAAGGGAGGACTCCCTGCAGAGTCCTTGTTAAGCGGTGGTCAAACCGTAATCTCTTTTCACTGGGGCCATACTGGAGCCCAGATGGGTTAATTTCCAGGGTCAGACATTACAGTCTCTCCTCCCCTGCCTCCTCCCGCCTGTCTTTCCTCCTCTACTCCTTTCAAGTCTTGTAAAGTAAGCATTTTGAAGTCTTGGGAGGCCTGCCTCCTCGAATCCTAATGTGAGCATGCAAAAGAAATGAGGCTAACATTTTGCAACAAGGGAAGGACGGCGAGCAGTAGGTATTTCTACTACTTTTTTTCTTTTCTGGGGAAGGCAGGAGGAAGAAAGAAGGGTGTTTTATTTGGTTTAATACCCTGAAAAGAAGTGATGACTTGTTGCTTTTCAAAACAGGAATGCATTTTTCCCCCTGTCTTTGTTGTAAGAGACAAAAGAGGAAACAAGTGTCTCCCTGTGGAAAGGAACAACTGTGAAGAAGACAGCAACTTTTATAGGCAAAGCAGCACAAATCTCAAGTTTCCCTTTGAATGTTAATTTGGTTGCGATAAACATTCCTTTTTAAGGAAAAGTGAAGGGCAGTGTGCTTCCATACCCCTTTCCATCAGAGGTTCTGAGCTGGCTAAAGGAAATGCAAGGGGTTTTGTTGTGTTTGTTTTAAGTAAATTTAATTCAGAACACGTGATCTAACGGGCTCTGTTAAAACGTTCAGGGAAATCTCCCCCTTCATCTTTTTGTCTTCCCATAAACCTGCATTTAGGTGTTTTTTTTTTTCTATTTTTTCACTCCAATTTGAATCCTTCAAGATAAAAGGAGAAGCATAATGCCTTTAGCCTCATAATAAAGGAACGTTAAATTTTTTAAAAAGTAAAAAAGCATTTTGTCCTGTTTCCTTTGTTCCATAAATCCGTTTATAAAATATCATGTGTATGCTGACCCTGTCTTTGTGTGGCTGGGTGGGAAGGTGACCTGCAGAAATGACAGTGAGTGAAGCGGACAGTTCAAACCATGGGCCCCATTTTTAAGGAAAGTCATTAAAAGAAGGTAAACTTCAAAGTAATTCTGGAGTTCTTTGAAAAGTGCTGGATGACTTAAATTTATTAATCTTAAATCATGTACTTTTTTTTCTATAATAGAACTCCAATTCTTTTGCGTAATGGGCTAAAGCTGAGCAGAGAATCACGGGAGCTAACCTTTACTCCACCTTTGACACCACCCTCCAATCTGGCAACACTATCCTATTTCTCAAAACAGTCCTTAAATGCTGTTTTAAATAGTTTTTAAATCATAGAGGGTACTGTCAGGAGTACAAGTTGCTTTATATATGTAATGTTAGGTTGAGTGGAGCTGCTTTTCATATTAAAGTTAACATTGACCTTGTGTTCCTTAAACCTCCAAAACTGATTTGTCAGATTTTTAAAACTCCCACTACACAGTTTTTGGCATCTTTTGTGTTGTATCTCTTGCATGTGAAATTTGTAAAATAGAGACAAGTGCAGTATGTATATTTTGTAAATCTCCCATTTTTGTAAGAAAATATATATTGTATTTATACATTTTTACTTTGGATTTTTGTTTTGTTTTGCCTTTAAAAATCTACAAGGAAGCCCCACTTTATCACTTGTACAGATCACAAATAAATTTTTTTTTAAATACAAAGTGAACGTATATTTAGTTTATGGTTCCTATGTAAGCCAAAGAATAGAATTTTGTATTATGGAAAGATGGTATGGAGGTACGCCACTGTATGTGTCCCTCAGAGGAAGATGTTATATATATTAAGGTCTTTTTATCTTGCCTTTTAAAACACAGTGTGATGAATGCCTTAACTGTCCTTTATTTTTTTCTGTTGTTGTTGCTTCCGGCCTCTCTCCACACCACCCTACCACACACACCACTAAGCTTTTTCACATCCTGCTCTGGATAAATTACTGAAGGTACAGAATAAGCATCTCTTTTAGAGGGGTGCTATGTGATCCATGTTTTCACTACCCTTCAGGCATAGAGTCCATATTTGAAAGAGGACTAGATATTTTTGGTCCACTTTTCTGGAGATGTTGTCCTTGGGAAGAATTCTGGGTTTTTTTGTTTTTTTTTTAATCACTGGTTGGTGTTTTTGTATTCTAAGGCTCCTTATCTAAAGTGTAGGGACTTAAATCCTTTGGGTTCAGGTGGCTGGGAAAGTCTGTAGTTGATTCCAGAGATCATAACAGGGGCATTGCACATGGAGCCTTCCCAGCTGTAGGCTTCACTCTACCTTGAGCCAGAGGTCAAGTGATTCCCCAAGATGGCAGTGACTCAGCAGCTCCGGCAGGAATAGACTCCATGCCTGACCCCAGGATGGCCTCAGAAGCCACTGAAGCTATTCTTTCCTCTTGTCAGAGAGGCTAACTTTGGAATCAGATTAGACCGAGAAGCCTTCGCTATCCAGGCACTTTGATATTAAACAGTCCCTCAGGGAAATAAAGGCATTCTAAATACTTCCAATACAAGCTTCGCTAGCTTTTTTTGTTGTTGTTGTTCCACTTTAATTCAGGTGTCTATTTGCTGGACTCTTATTTTCATAAGAGTCCCCTCATTCTCTGGCAGTCATCACAGCAGCAGACAGGACGCTGCTGTTTCTCCTTCCCTGCTTTGGCTCTAAGTTTCTGTACTTCTAAAGCTCAACAGAAACAGTTCTGTTTTTGTTTTAATTAATAGGCTCACACACATGGCTGGTGTGTTCTACAAACACATGGAATGAAAACCAGTGACAGTCCTCACCAAGAGGAGGAAGGCTTGCGGCTGCACTGTGCAAAGCGGCTTTAAGATCCTCCTGGGTTTTGAACATCACAATGGGTGGGAGGTCATCTTAAGCTGTGAAGATTTTGGCATCGAGGAAGGAAAAAAATAGCAACTTCAAGTCTCAAGGTTTATCCCGTTTTTGCTCATAAAATGACACCTTTTAGGTTAAAGAATGCCTCTTTTAACACCACAGTAATACTGCCTGTTAAGAATGTTTGCTTTTGGAGTAGGTGGAAGGCTCCCAATGGGGTTTTTTGCTCGCAAATTAACTGCTGAACTCACTTAGACCCTTCTGTGGGAGAGCTATGTGACTGCTCCTGTAAACGTGTCCCCTTCCTCTCTTGTCAGTGCTGCCTCGTCCTGCAGGGCGCTCAGATTGCAGAGCACTTGTCTTTAGCGAGGGAACAAAGACTGTATGAATAAATTACTAGCTGCTTTTTTGCGAGCAAAGATAAAACTGTTCAGTTTAATTCCTTTCACAATGTGGTACGTCCTAACGTCATAGATTCTTACCTAAGAATTTTAGAGGCTTGGGGATCCTTAAGGAGGTGCATCTTTGCAGAAAATAGGTGAGAGAGAGTGCTTGTGAAAGGGCATGTGTGGAGTTTAGGAAAAACATTGGCAGGAGTTTGGTGTTAATCCCTAGTTAAGGAGCAGAAACACTTGTGAACATTTTCTTCAGTTTATAAAACAAAATTAGTCTATACAATAGCCCTGTGCAACACCTAATCTTTTAAAGTAGGTTCGTGAGAAATCTTGGTGAGAAACAAATAAATGTCCTGTTGACAACATCTCACCATTAAAGAAAAAGATTTTTTTAATGTGCTTGATAGAAAATAGTGATATCAGAAATTCTCTGGGTAGAACTATAGAAGTATAACAGCTGTAGGTTTGAGCCCTGTAATTATACTGGGAAATTCTCTTCTAACTCTCCCATCTTTAATTTCACTGAAAAGGCAGGTGGCTATTTATAGATGGTATATTTTTATATATGCATATGTGGATGGTGAATAACAGTCTACAGGGCTCCAGGAAATTCTAGTAGAGACCAAAGCACGCCAATGTGGACTTAAATATTTCATAGATCTGTTCTATTTTTCTCTTATTTCACTGTCAGTGACATTAAAGTGATTTCATAAAACTTGTTTTTTCAACTCTTACTTTCCCGTTTGCGATATTTCTTACCTCTGAATCTGTATTCCTCACATTTCATAGAAAAGTGAACTAGTTAAAAAGGTACCATTAAAATGTCAGGTCTTTGGTAAATACACTTACTCTCCGGTTGGAAAAAAAAAAAAAAGTTCTAATTGGAATTTTCTCAGTACCACAGTGGTGGAAAAAGGGAAGTTGAGTCAAGACAATAGTTTATTATAAGTGATCTAGTCCAAGAAGCACTGATCAAGCAACCACTACAGAAAAGGTAGTATGACCGGTACTAAAGGGATTACAGGATTACAGAAAAAAGCAAGAAAGACACATTCCACCTAAAGTAACTCGCAGCATAGTTCAGGGTGAGGGAGGACAGCATCCCCCATTGAGGAATAAGCAACTAATTATCTTTCCAGGAAGAACTTGACAAGCATCATCACAGAGGCCCAAATGCTATTTAGAATAATATTACTTGACATTTGGTGGCATTTACTGTTTTAAAGGCTGCTTTCACATTCACTTTTTGACTTTATCCTCAAAATTATTGTAACAATCACGTAACATGGAATAATTCCTATTTTAAAAATGAAGAAGCTGAGAGGCTTAGTGAGTTGAAGTGACACAGGAAGAGGAAAGAATCATCTCCCGTCCTCAGATTCTGAGCTCATCGCACTCCCTGTAACGTGCCACACAGCCTCTCTCTAAAAGTACTGGGAGGTTCAGTCGTGGGAATAACCTATCTAATTGCAGAGGGTGGGTATCCAGCAAGAATACATTTCCCAAGAACTCAGGTTATGTGATTCACCATAACTTTCATGCTCTTAGATCAATTCCTTCATCTCCATGGGCCTTGCTTTCCTCAACTGGTGAAGTTGACGTCTGAGACCAAGGCCCTCCTCCAGCATCCTGCGATTCCAAGCAACTGGTATGAAGTACAAATATGGCTCATCCATTTGTGGACCATCCGCGGCTATTTTGAAATCCCTGACTGGTTGTTTTTTCCTCCTGTAGGCCAGTGTGTCCCACCTCTCAGCAAACCAAGCCAGTGTGTGCTCAGTGAAGGAAAACGAACTTTCCGTCGGCCATTATAAGCGCAATTCAAAAAGTAAAATCATTAGTGTATTACTGTACACTGAAGCCAAAATATGAGTTTGGGAGGCTGACTAGTTTCTTGAACTAGCTACCATCTTCTCCTCACTCCTCTTCATAAGCAATTGCTTTCTGCCACTGGGAGTCTGCCTTCCTCAATGCCAAAGGGGTTTATTGCATCAGATCTTCTTGGTTTCTCTCAAAGACCACGTCCATATCACAACCAGGTTGGCTGCAGTCTCCTTATCCTGGAATTCTCATTGCTGGGTATTTCAAAGGCAAATCAACATTTTATGTGGCTGAAATAATAGGACAAAGGTTTTTGGTTCTGAACAGTTATACTAGCCAAAATTTTAAATGCTTCTCTAGGTCATTGTCCTTAAAGCCTCTTTCAGAAGACTGCAAACTAACAAAAGAATATTGAAACTACTATGAGGGATTCCACTGTGCTTTGGCTGGGGGTCTCCTTCACTTTGGAAGGATCTTTTGGGGAGCCCAAGGCCACCTCTTTTGCTGTTGAGCTTCCTTTAAAATGCTTCATACCTGCAAATCTGTTTATGCGGCATAGCCCTAACATCAGTTCAGCTTCGAGTTCAAGAAGTGGTCTCCGAGAGATGGACATATCAGAATAGAAGCAAGAAAGGGCATTTAGGGGGCAGAAACAAAGGGAGGAAAAGTGAAGAGATAAAGTGCCATATAGTCCATAAATGAAAACAAGCTGCTCAATTGATTTAGGTAAGACAACCACCTAATACCACCTACCCTTAGAAAATGTGATCTCCCAAACTTCAGCGTGGCCTTGCAGATTCTGGAGGACAATTCAGTCAAAGGGAAAAGCATCTTGGGGAGAGTATGG